TAGGGAAAACAAAACACACACAAAAAAAGTGGCTTGTCTCTTTTCTCTGACAGCCAAACGGAAACACAGGCTGTCCTTGAACAAATCACCTTGATAAGTATCTTCTGAGACTGATCTGCTGAGGAGGACACCACACAGTTAAGGGTGCCAAAATCAACCTGCTCTGAGCATAGAAAAGGCCACCATCTGCTCCCCTGCAACATCTGTAACTGGCAGTCACATCTCAGTAACAGTCCAAATTGTTTAAGTTTACAATGGTGATCTGAGCACCTACCACTAGAGATAACCTATTTTTAGAAAACCACTACTTGCTTAGGCTAAAACTGTTTAATAATTCATACTCATCAAGAAAAGAAAGAACCCAGCAAACTGCCTCAACACACCGCAGTGTGATAATCTCAAGTAAAGCCTGAATCAATGAGAACCATTAATCAGTCTGAGAGACTTGGTAAGTAGGTACAGTGGCTGTTTAATCGCTTACAGCTCATTTAGCTGAGAGCCAAGCAGCTGTCCTCTCACAGTCCGGGTGGATATTTTAATCACAATGGGTTTATTTCTGTACTTTATCAAAACCTACTGCACATTGTATTGCCAGCTCATTAGTCTTTGAGAAAGAAAAGTTCAGCACCAGTTTTTAGTTCACCCTCAAACATCACCATTCTGTTGCTCTAAACTAACTCATGGCCTTGCACAGAAACTGAACCTAAATAGAGGTATTTTGAGGAAAATCACTAATTGTATAAGAAAAGTTCTGAGGGGTAGGCAGAGTAGCATTTATGTGGTAGTACATTATACATATTGTTCAATCCTCACACAATTGTCAGAAAATTACAGTGACTAGGGACTAATCAATAAACAGATATTTCAAAATTCAGTTGAAGGGTCTGAAGCAAAAGCCTTAGATTATGAGAACTAGAAGAAAATAAAGAATACATCACCATCTCACATCTAGCTCAATATGATTTCCTTCCGAGAGCCTCCTTTGTCACGAGGTTGATGTCACACACAATCTTCAAATTTCTCAAGATACACACTACTCACACATAGCTCCTTTGTCACGAGGTTGATGTCACACACGATCTTCAAATTTCTCAAGATACACAGTACTCACACATATATTATTACTTAGGTGACTTGCAGACCTTACTGTATGACTAGAAAAGATACCCCACACAATAGAACTGGGAGAATCTTTCTAAGGTTGCATGTTATTATAGCACAGATCCTTAAACGTAGTAAAGACTTTTAAGCTACTTCCGACAAAGCACCCCCAAGACGCAAGCCCATGTTTCATAAATATCAACAGTCACCTGTGGTCTGCCAGCTTTGCAAATATCTTAATCTGATTTCCTAATGATAGCAAAAACAAGACGATAATTTTTCAGGGGAAAAAACTTAGTAGTTTCTGTTTGTATTTGGAGACCAACATTTAAGGCTAAGACTGTAGCATGGGCACATTCCAGCTACACTACACCTCTGAGCTGTGAGCATACCTCTCACCCAGACCTTTGTGTTCCAGATCCAGGTTTTTGTGCAATGTTTTCAGGCAGCTGTGCTGGTTTATTAGCATTTCATATTCTGTGGACTGCCGTTCATGCAGTGAAGCAAGGTGTTCATGGTCCTGAAGCAATGACTCATACTCAGCTTTCAGTTGCTCCTTCTGTTTCAGTAGATTCTCATTCTCGTTCTCCTTGGCTGTCTGCTGATTTTGGAGTAAAGCATTCTGGGCCATCAGTGAAGCACTCTGGGAGCTGAGGGCTGAATTTTCTACCTAAAGTTTCTCAAATAAAAAACAAGCATTACTTATTTATACCTACTGGTACACAAAAAAAACCCCAACAGTAGGGGCAGTAGTAGCAGCCCATATCTGTACAGAGTCAACTAAGAACGCATCCACTCTTTGTAAACTTAAGACATTTATGGAAAATTTGGCATCAATTCGGAGACATCAGTGAAGCCCTCTGGGAGCTGAGGGCCGAATTTTCTACCTAAAGTTTCTCAAATAAAAAACAAGCATTACTTATTTATACCTACTGGTACACAAAAAAACCCCAACAGTAGGGGCAGTATTAGCAGCCCATATCTGTACAGAGTCAATTAAGAACGCATCCATTCTTTGTAAACTTAAGACATTTATGGAAAATTTGGCATCATTTTGGTATTGCTGGTAGTATGCACCATATAAATCCATGCTATCAGCAATATGAAAAGTACTAGGACAACCTCCAAACTGAAATACCACTGTTTTACTAGCAGAAGCACTTGAGCCTGAAGAACAAGACGAGCTGGAATACTCGTAACTCAACTGCATCTCTGGCAATCATGTACAAAGCCAAAGTTACCCCGTGCTTGTGTACAAGCAGTGAAAACTTAAGTTCATCCAAACTCAACAAAATTAACCGCACCCCTGTGTAAGGGGGCAGCACGCCTAACAAGTCTGATTTCAGCAGACAGGTAGTGCACTGATTTTATATGTTGCTTATTTCTCACCTGCAATCGAAGTATATAAGTAAAGAGAACAACAAAAAATAATCTGTGAACACGCAAGAGGAAAAGCTTGAAAAGGCAAATTCCCACCAAAAAAATAGAGCTAATCCAATGTTGTCCTTTAAAACTGTTCTTTTTCTCAAGCTAAGTTTATTTTTCAAAATTTAAGTAACATTTAAGAGTATCTGTTTTCCACCAGTAACTTTTACATTTTGTCTGAAAGTATGAAAACTGTGATTGGGACCCATTGCTACAATGCCGCTTGAGAGCTGACTTGTGTCCTCTTCCCATTTCTTCCAAGGTCTTTCACAGGCATAGCATTAACAGAAAAAAAGAGTGAAGACCTTTTATTCCAGAGGTGTAGCTTCTGGAATAACACATCTGGATTTTGATGTATTGATTTTAAAAAACTCTCTCTACACAACTTCTTAATGAAGATAGCTACCAGAATTATCTACAGAGACCATTTCCCTCCTAGCTTGGAGAAATTCAAACCTCAAACTAACCTCCACCTTACGGGCCTCATCTTTACATCACTACATCGGCCTAGCACTACAAACATTTTCTTATTAGCTGTCATCTTCTCCACACTACTATAATTAAATCCAGTCTTCTAGCACAGAAGTGCATGGCTGTCCTGACCTGGAGTTTGGCTGTCTGTGTCTGCAGGGTAGTATTGTGCTCCTGAAGGAAGACGTTTTGCTTCTGTAGTGTCAGGATCTGATTGTTGAAGGAAACATTCTGGGTTTCCAAGTGCTTCATCTGTTCTTTAAGCAGCTGCTTCTCAGTATGCAGGGCTGCATTCTGAAAGAGATACAGCATTGACGGGGTGACAGGAAGAAATGAAACAACTGTCCTGATCATTTGGAGTCCTATCAAAGATGAGAACCAAGTAGTGATGATCATATTGCATCAAATGTGCAAAAGCAAACTCTTCCCAGCATTAAATGAAGGTAGGAGAGATGTCATACACAGGATTAATCCCTGTATTGATAATATATAAGACATATATAGCATTAAATTCCCATGCAGTTGTAAGAGATACATGAGGAATTTGGTAGATTTATGTATTCCAGAAAACCCACTAGATTCCTATAAGCTCAAAAATCCAGTTCCCAGGAACCCACTCATGATTGCAAGGGAAGTCTGAGGAGAACAGGAAATAGGAGGCAGCTTACATTTCTTTCCAGTTCAATTGCCCTGTCCTTCAGTTTCAGAAGCTCCAGGGTAGCTTCTCGGTGCCCCGTTTCAAATTTCTCATTCATTTGGTGGCTGGGAATGAATTTCTCTGCAGAATACCTCAGTGACTTCTGAGCACACTGCCCATCTTGTTGAGTCTGCTTAAGTGCATCAAAGTCCTTCTTTACCTGCAAAGCCAACAAGCAACAACCTTCAAGTGATTTAACAGTAGGATTTTATATTAATGATGATGGGATACGCAGTTCCTCTCCTGCGCTGTAAAGACTTTAAAGGATTCAAGAACCATTACCCTCACTTCACAGATGGGGAAGTTGTCACAAAACAGGTGGAGGTATCTCTTGGCCTCCAGTAAGGTGTTCTCTGACTCAAGCTCACACTCACCTAACAAACAAGCTGTTCACAGGCGAAATGTTTCAGCTGCAGCTTCCTCAGCCTATGGTTTCATGAAACAAGGCAGAAAAGCAACACCATGGCAATGAAAAAACCATGGGAAAACAGAGACTGCAAACAGTGGTTATGTAGAAGAAATTCCTGCCATGCCCCGAGCCTAACAATTTTGCTGGAATTGCTGACATTGTATAGAAAGGGACAAGAGAAACAGCCCAGTCAAAAAAGGTTTTTGGGAAGTGTAAGTATGTGGTGGTGGGGTAAACAGAGATAACTTGTTCTTAGAGGGAAAACAAAAAAACAAACAAAAAAACCCAGCCAATCCACATGTGAACATTCAGAACTTCATCAAGAATTAAAATTCAGTTAACCTCTTACCATATTTAGATCATTCTGTAACTGCTGGTTCAAGTTCAAAGAGTCTTTCAGTTGAGCTTCCAACAATGCAATCTTCTCTTCTTTCACAGCTAGTGTTGTTTTTAGTGCCGATTCAGTTTTTCTCTCTAGCATCTTGTATTTTCTGAAAGACATGAGAATAGCTTTCCAATGTTTGCCACTAGGATATGAGCCACATCTATATAGAAGATTTCACCGTCACCCATTCTGAACCTCACCACGTTACACGACATGCGTTTGCTTCTTCAGGAAAATTATTTCCTCTACTGCCGCAGATTGCTACTGATATATTACAGCTGGGGAATCTGCTTTTAAAAAATCCAATCAATTTTAATAGAGGTAACAACAGCATGGTTCTACAGAAATATCTAAGAGCTACATAACTTTTAAAAAAAAGTTTTTCTAATTTTCTTGTAATTACACTATATAAATTTTTTCTCATGGCTCTTTTTACATTCTTGACAAGGAGAAAAATCTGCAGTACATTCTAAACACTCCTATGAAATGGGTATGTCTCTCTAATTAGGTCTTACCAAGAGGCCAACACAAGGGTTGTTGGGGTTTCTTTGTTCATTATTATAGGACTTGCAAAGGAATTCCTTGCAATCAGGAACTTCTTAGGCAGCATCTGTGCTTATATTAACAGGTGGCTGGATCACCACCTACACAAAATAATGACAGACACTGTCTAATAGACGCTATTCTTACTTACAAAGAGAATATGAGGAGGAATATGCACTGAAATAGCTACCCAGCTACTGGGGAGTAGAGGGGGACAGTAGTAACACTGGCTGGCCTGGAGAGAGAGAATGGTATTTCTTCCTTCCATCCAAGAAAAAGTTTTGCAAAACTTGGGAGTATACTGCCAAGCTTGCTACAGAAAAATATGCTTTATGTCCAAAATTGGTAAGGGTAATTGGAGTGAGACAAAGGAGAACCAAAATGAAAAAATGAAAGGCAAGAGGATTAAGTTAGGCTGAGAGTATACTGCCAAGCTTGCTACAGAAAAATATGCTTTATGTCCAAAATTGGTAAGGGTAATTGGAGTGAGACAGAGGAGAACCAAAACGAAAGGCAAGAGTCTTAAGTTAGGCTGATGAAAAGCCTGCAGAGCCAAAAAAAAAAAAAAATCACTAAGAGAGCTCAGTTTCCTTACGTGTCATCATTGCTGTTGTCATCCTGTAGCAGCAGCTCTTTGTTCAATCCTATCTTCTCCAGTTCCTGACTCACTTTGTCCAGCTCACTAGACAACTGTTGACTCTTCAGCTTCTCCAGGACCAAATCCTGTAACAGTACTAGCATGATTAGCTGCTGTGCAAAGGGTGGTGATAATTATCCAGCGCTATAGAGTTTTTTAAAAAGTATTGAAAAAGTAATTGGATAAAATCCTAGTTCCAAGAAGGTCAGCTAAAATTCTTCATCAGTGACAGCTAAGTACAGAATTAAACTGATTGCTTTTATTTATAGTTTACTTGTAATAAATCTGAAGAATGCTTGTTTTGGCCTTTGTCTCACTCACTGTACTGAATTACTTCTGCCAACACTGGCATGCTACCCACCTGCCAACAGAGGGAATGTGTGCAGACCAGGAAACATCCTCCCCTTGTGCCACAGAAGGGAGGTGTGCAGGTCAGGGGAATCAGCAGAGGGAGCTCCCACCTTCTCAGCTAGGACAAAAAGCCCTGCTGAAAAGCCCAGCCAACACTGGCACACACACAGAGGACTGACAGGACTTGACTATGAAAGTTTCCCGAGATAATAAGGTGAAGACGTTATTACCAAGGGACT